TAGAACAAATTGCGCCATCCTGACGTCATATATCCGCGCGGATCCACGCACATGTCGGGGGCTCTCGCGTGGATGTTGTCACGTTGGGTGATCAAATGGAGAGAGCTGCGAGATTCTCTTGCAGATTTTTCACAGCGATGACAGGGAATAAGGCAGGGAATAAGAACCAGGGCTTTAAGATGTAGTTTTATGCTCTGAGCTAATGGAAAAGGTGAGTTTTTCAGGGTCGAAAACAAGGCTTCGATTTCGCGCTGTAAATGAATGCTCGCGCTAGTTATACCCGTAAGCTTTTGCGCTTGTTCTATAAAGAAAAGTTATGTAAGAAAACTCTTTACTCTGGTATCGAGTTAATTTGTGAGTTTTCTAAACAATGCTTAATCATAACCAAACCCTGTTTTGATAGTTTCTTATTGTTTCTGTTTGTTTCGCGAGTTTGCAAAGGCTTTTGAAAGGAAAGTCTGACGCGTACAAGTAGCTCATTTGCATAGTGCAGCGCGTGCAATTTCAAGTCTGAGTCGGTGTTTTCAATTGTCAACAAATCTCGACAAAGATTTCTTTCGCTGTCTTTTGTGCCGAGATGCTGCAACAATTTTCACCAACGCCAAAAGGCTACTAACATCATGAGTGTTTCTTTAACATGGTGAAATTTTACATTGCGAAAATAAAATAGACAAGGAGTTTTGATAACTCGACCAACAAAATCGAAGTCTTTATTCGAGTACCGTGACTATTCGAGTTGATTAACTTTAAAAAAGCTGATTATTTCTGCTGTATTCACATATTTTCAGCTAAGCTTTTAATATGTTCTCAAACATTTATCAACCTTAAACATATGTACATTTTCACTCCAAAGTGAGGAAGTCCAAACTGTCATGTTTACTGACTGTACAAAATACGCATCGGGCGCTCTTACTCATCGACAACAGTCAATTTATTGGATTTTTACACAAACAAAACTGCGCAGCATTTACAGACATAAACTTTATTGTCGCTTATTGGGCCTTGATAAAACATCAAGCGTTGCTTACAATTCAGGCGAAACTCAAACTCGCAAGCGTGTGGCAAGAGGAGGGAAACTTTGAAGTCCTGAAACGCTGCTATGTCCAGATATATCCAACTAGTTTTTTGCTGTGTTTTGGAAAAGCTGTTAGTCTTGAACATATGTGAAACTTAGAGTGGAGTAATGTGGAGCCCTTGTAAAAGAGGCTGCGGAATACAACTTGGTCAGTGATATAAAGCGGCACTACATAACTAGATTCGACACTGTCTTACTTCACTCAAACTGGAGCAGCTTACGACGGAAACACTGAAGCAAAATTCCAACAGACATGAAAATATTGAGTTGTGGGCCAAAAGCATCAAACATGTCAGGAATTTCGGACACCATTTCCCCGCGCTACATCCGCAAAAATCCTCGCAGCATGTACGCGCGTGTGCCGTACGGGATGGAGCAATTTGTTCTAAAAATAGAAAAATTGTCCCATATCATAGGGACAGCCCCAATACTAGAAATGGCGCGCGCTTACGGTCTCCGTCCCCGATTATGGCTCCTGACTTAAAGGTAATACCTCTTAAGTTAGTTTTCGACATGATACCCAGTATTTCCCCGGATATGTTACTCGCGCGTTATTAGGGAGCTTAAGCAAACCGCGACGAAGACAGCAACGAGAACGTCACTAAACAAAAGGTTTAATGAGCAAAACAATAGCTGTTCACGTGCACTATAAATCTTTATTATTATTATAAATCTTTATTAAGAAATCAGTCACAACATATGTGTGGCTTTACAATCAATAAGAAACTAAGCTAAACTAGAAAAAATCTATCATATATATTACAACAAAGATTTTAAGAAATAAATTTAAAAAGATATCTATTTACAAAAGCCCGTTTGAATCGCTCCGTTTTTACTTTAGGGAGTATGAAGTCATGGCCCCTTTCTCTAAGAGCTCTGTTACGTTTGGGTGGGAGCAAGTCATATAATACATGGCCAGTGGCACTTGTGATTCTTTTGAAAAGATCACATGCCGTCCTCTGAAAACAACAGCGTGAAATGACCAAGTTTTGTGTCGTCTACGGAACGTGGACGACGACGGCTAAAATTTTTTATTTCCATTTGGAATTGAACGCCGTCGTTGCATATTTAATTTAAGCACGTTTTTAGAATCATTGGCCTACCGAACAGATCTAGACAACCGCGAATTTCGCTTGTAAAATATGAATTCATTTTCTTCTAGCTAGGCGTCGTCCTCGGCGACGTTGTCGTCGTTGCCTAAGCTCACTTTCTCTAAGCTCTCGACGAAATGGTTGGAGTGTGGTGCAAAGTCCTTTTATTCGTTGTGATTTTGAAAAGACGTTCCAAAGATGTTTTAATTTCTGCACTCTCAGCTGTCTTTTTGGTCGGGTTGGCTTTCGTTTGTTCTATGCTCGTTTGGTTGCTTTTATATTAGCGATTTAAACTACGAAGTCATTGGATAATTCAAAGGCAAACAAAATTGCGGGAGATTCAGCCATTTACAATTTTGGAGGGCAAAAAAGGGGAATGGAAAGGGCTTATCGTTTTTCACTCCGGTGCAGTCAAACGGGAAATTTCACTTTTTGGATAGAAAGTAAATGTGTCGCAAATGTAAGTGGAACTTTCGTATTTACTTTAGTAACGACAGTGAGATAAATTTCATGTAAATGTAATCACGTCACATTTGCAAGCAAATACATCAGGAACAAACGTTTGAGTACTATTTCCACAACGAAAGTGAGTGCATTATTGAGGCATCCAAGCACAGAGAAATAATTGAAAGCACGAGGCCGTAAGCCAAGTGCTTTTCAGTATTTTTTCGAAGTGTTTGGATGCCCTAATGAAACACGAACTCGAGTTGTGGAAATAACTTCTCATGGTTAAAAGATTTGAATTGTTCGTAATGCTAGCATTCTTTTCACAATCATTTCGATATGAGTGATGTTTTTCTCATGCGTTGTCTCATGTGAACATTACAGACTGAGATTTACATTCGTGTGTTGCGATAACCAATCCCAAAGTAGTCTCTCTGGCCAATTACCAAGTATACAGACAATCTAGTGCACCAATCAGACCTCCAAGCAAATAGATGCAACTGGTGTAAAGCGCGCGAAAGCCTGCTCGAGATTCATGCACAGCTTTGGTTTAACTTGGCTAAAAAAATTGGTCTGAGTTCCTTACAACAATCACTAAGAGTACAATGCAAAACTAAACTAAAAGTGTATTCCTTTCAACAAGAACCGTAAACACATAAGTTATCGTACTCAGTCTCTCCCCGTTTCTTTCCATTTTCACTCCAATCTAGCTTATTCATCAAGACAATGCCTTCTATTTCTCTGCTTCCCAAGAGCCACAACAAACCAGTGCCAGGTTTGATGCGGTTCCTATGCTTTCCCGTTTGCCTTGGTGTACTACTTCTCCTCTGCTTGCTGTATTGCACGGACATGACGAACAGTTGCCCGCCTCTTGTTGGCGTTGTTTCTCCAAGGGAAGTCACTGGATATCCATTTGGTGACGGAATCAATAAATTGAACAGTAATGATAAATTCAACTCTTTGATTAACTCAGAGAAAGGACCAGACAATTCTCGTAACAATGTACATCAAAACCGTCGTCGAGCAAAAAAGTCGTTAATTTCGCGTAGATTGCAAGACTTCCGACACGAGTGGCTTCGTCAGCGCCGTGCACGGGTAGACTGGAAGAATATTATTAAGCCTTGTGCTGACAATATGGCCTGGGGATTAGTGAAGGAGCATTGGGGTAAAACCAATAGAAGCAACGCTACAACAAGTGACATTATATTCCAAGATATCAGACCAGCGGGAGAGTTCAGCAAAATTTTAATCCAGTCAAAAACCTCAGACAATCGAACGAAGTTGATTGGTGGAGACACGTGGAGGGTTTACGTACGTGGTCCAACAAGCGTTGCGGCCACTGTTTTCGATCACAATAATGGAACTTACGAAGCTCTATTTCTCATCACGGAGCCTGGTGTCTATCAACTAATGATTTACCTTGATTACAGTCTTTGTGATGGCTTCAAAGACCCACCTCGCGATTGGTTCATCATAGGCGACGTTCAGGGGGCCAACCACAGAAATGGAACTTTAGGACCCTTAGACGAATACTTGGTAAAGCATGGACTTCGTACCTTAAACATAACTGTGACTAAGGCTCAGCTAAAAGCCCCTCTTTCTGGTAAGTAGATTTCTTTTTAGCACAGTAAGTCAGCCTATATTGGTATCAAACACGCACAAATTCTCCGTTTTCTCCTTAATTTTAGTTTCGATTGAAAAGACATATCAATCACTCAAGACAGTGTTTGACCACATTTTCAAACACCTCGAAGTTCGTCAAAATTACTCCGCTGCGCGCTTTATTTCCAACTCTCTTCGCAATGTTTGTAAATGTGGTCAAACAAAGTCTTTCCCGTTTGATTTATTACATAAACGTTTTAACATAAATTGAAAAGTGTTTTGATTAGCTTAAACTGTTGCTATGGTAACTTGCAATGCCAAAGTATGACTATAACTTGTTCACTGGATGACTGGGCATTTGCTTGATGTCATTACTATAGTGTCAACTGAAAACGAGTGGCAGTAATAATTTATCAAAGTACAATTGCTGAAACATGCTGCAAACTGTTGCGAGCGGCCATCACTTTACTTTCCCCATAGCGATCTGTAATGTGATGTAATGTAATATGCAATAAAAAAGCTTAAGTGCATGCGCATGCGCAAGATTGTGTTGCGCAAAATGGTAATGTTCAGTCACTTTATTATACGGCTCTATTATGTGAGCGGGCAGGTTGAACCAAATTCGTCGCTGTGATTGGCTACCCGAGCGGGTAGATGCCCGCTCGGGATTATGCGCTTTGTCAAGCAGGAAAAAATTCTCCGAAGCCGAAGCAGGTTCCATGTAAATAATCTTTTATTAACCAAGCTTGCTTGGTTAAGATGGCTGGATATTTAATTTGCCTCGTTTGTTTGTTTGTTTGTTTGTTTGTTTGTTTGTTTTGCGTGATCATACACTACGACACCATCTCCCTTCATAAATGCTTAAAAAGAGCACTTGGCCAATATCCAGCCCTATTACACGTCAAGGGCCAATAACTGAAATCAGTCAATCAGATTGGTCTATCACCGGTACAATATTCTCACTAAGTAACAGACCGGGCAATATCCCGAATGATTTCGCACGATCGCTCTTGAATAATTTCTGTAGTTTTATGGTTTAGGTTTCTTGTATTCATATAAAAGATTCTTTTTTTCCCTTTTCCTTCTTACTCTTTTTCTCTTCCGTGTTTTGTTTTGTTTTTGTTTTTTATTTTTTACATCAGTCGTGAGTATATGCCAAGTCGGATCCCAATCAGAATTGCCCTTTTGAAGTCTGAGATGTTTTTACAGTCCGTGAGCGTATCAATATTTCTTAACATTTTCAGTCGTGTAATAAATCTCTTATTAACCAAGCTTGCTCGAGGAGAACATCGGCACTCGGTCTTGTTTGTACAGAACTCGCTGTATTCGGACCTTGTTGTCAAGATCTCTGGCCGATATTCTTCTTGTACGGCTCTCGCGTTTGGAAAATAGCTAAGGCACTCAGCCAGAGAAGTACCTTAGGCAGAGAAGAATCTCGTTTTCGCGTCTGGTGAGACATAAAAAGCGAGACATATTGTAAATACACAGCAACAGACCAGCAAAACTATACCACTGCTGCGCATGCCCGGATTAGCAAGCTGCATCGCTTCGCTGCGCAGCAAAAAAAAAAACTTAGTATATAGATTATGGTTATTTCCAGCAATAACATCATGAGCTCAGTTGTTTTGTTTTAGCTTAACAGACTTTGAAGAGTCAAATGTTACCAATGAAGTATTTTACCTTGTTGTTTCTCGTACAGACAAACTTGAAGGACTTGCCTCCTGTTCTGAAACCTGCAAGTATTTGTGGGATGGATTCGGTCAATGGAAAACACGACGGTGGATGCCATATCTTAAAGGTTGGGAATGAGTTTTTGAGTCTTTCAATTCTCACACAGGAGATCTAGCGACGGTACATCAGTCAAAACAAATAAGGCGTTTGTAAAAGAAACGACGACGACGTCGCTAACGTCA